CCCATCTGTGGATTATAACCATAGACAATAGACTTTGTGAAGACTCACATATGGACTGGTTATAGACTTTGTCTTCAATCACCAGTGATGGACTGTGGTGAAACAGGTGTTAAACCTACAGAATTGAGGACATTGGTTCACCCTACTGTTGATGTCCTGACTACAAGAGAATATAGACTGAAAAGCATCTTGTTGGTATAATGTCGGGACGACATTTTTTGAGTGGGGGAGAGTGTGACAGGTTGAAGGACTACTGCATATAAAACTGTTCAGTTAATACTAATTCATATCAGTTGATATAAGGATGAAAATAATGTAAATATGGTAAGAAAATGGTTAAGAGTTTATTATTTTTCATGTTATATTAATGGCTTTCATGTTACTTAAGAGAAATACAATCTATACATCAGTGATCGGCTAAGCCTTTTCTGGGATCGATTAGTAGTGTCTCTATTCTCCACTAGGGGGCTTTCGCGCGTTCTCCTCACTGCGATGAACTACTGCATGAGAGACGCAAGTCATAATCACTCTCGTGATTCTTTTCCCCCTGTTTTCAGGTAAAAAGTGTTTAAAAGTTGATATATTTCCAATGTGTACACTGTTAAGATATTTAAGAGATAATCCTTCATTGTTTTGTAAGCGTTAGAAGCATTATATTACAGTTTTGTGCACATATACGTGGCGGTTTTGAGTTGTGTTTTGTACTGTGTAATGGCCATTAAGATAACTGCAGGAGCTAAAAATGCTGCGATTGTCAGCCATTTTGTCAGGAAACCTGCTCAAGTATATGTATAGTAAGCACTTTAGTATTTCGGTTTATTATTTAGTGTTTTTCTTCCACCATGTGACATTTAGCAGTACAGAATGTGAAACGTTTCTGCTCATTTTCGCGGCAATAAACTACTCCATGAGAGACGCAAGTCATAATCACTCTCGTGATTCTTTTCCCCCTGTTTTCAGGGGTGTAACAATTCTGATGGTTTTCTACAGCAGGAAATGTCACTAAAAATGTCCATGTGTCAGTTCTCTGTTCCTCTGCTGCTTTCCAATCAAGACACGAAACAGTGCACACTCATGCTGTGGGCCATGAGAGACATTGTTAAAAAGTACAGACCTCAGTCTCGGTCAGAGTCCAAGGGCTTCATTGAGGACAGAATTGTTCTCTCTGAACTTCCAATGATCTCTTTTGTCAGACTGGGTGAGTGCTCCTCGTCCAAGTCAGAGATTCTCAATAAACTTCTGAGCAATTCTCAGCAGTACCATGACACCTTT